AAAAAAACATCAGAAATGTCCGTTTCATCATCGGAAATGGCAGTTTTTCATTGTGCGTCATCATTTCGTGTGTAAAAGATTTCATTAAAATGACATAAATTACAACATTCTTTCAATATTTTTTAAGCTACTGGGTCTATAGAAGTTGCCACTAAGAAAAGCCGACAGCGCTAACGGATATCCGATTGTTTCGATTTATGTGAAACATTCTTCTTGTATTTTTGCACATGTCTGTTTTCGATGACCATGAAATTAAAGTCTCAGTTGATTAATTTTTCCTCTTAGCTAACAAAATCGGTGTCAATGTTGAAGCATAATTATGCATTAGTAAAGCCTTTACTTGAAGAATTAATGTCTATGGGATTATTGATCAAATTTAACAATGGCGTTCAATCTGGTAAAAACAAAAGTGCTCTGTACGTCAAGGTTTTGCCGAAATCATTCGACATGCACGTGGTGGAACAATTTATTACTGGTCATTTACAAAAGGTACAAATTCCTTGGTTATTATACAGGGAAAGCTGTACCAAATTGATTTTATCATCATCGTCGGCAAAACTTTCAGATGAAGCTGATGCAATTCTAAAATCTAATCAATATACAAAGTATCTTCATCTCATAAATTTATTTTGGCAAATTTTATTGTTTATGTTTACTTTTTTTTTGCTAGGCTGGTCAAAGAACATTATGAAGCTCCAACACCTGTCACAAGATCGGCAGCAGCTAAAAGTTTAACAACAATCAAAAAGAGACAAAAGAAAAACTTGAAAATGTCACCGAACAATGGAACAAACACAATTCTTCGATATTTTCGTAGGATTACTAAAGAAATCAATGCTCAATCGGAAACAAATGGTGAAGAACCATCGAGACAAAATGACGATTGTGAAATTATCTCGTGTTTATCAGTGTAAGTTTTGAAGATATCTATTTTAAATATATCGATGATTGTTTTATTACGTTTTGCTTAGTCATGGGAAATTGAATACTAATGATTTAATTCCACCAATAAATTCGTCATCATCATCAATAATGAAAACAGCAACTTCATCTTCTACAGAATTGACGTCAAAATACTTCCGTAATGCTCTTGTACCTCGACCTTTGCCACGTATCACTCGTTTATCAAATGGAAATTCTACATCACTTCAAGATGATAAACAACAACAAATATCTGATAAAAATGAACAGTAAAATGGTCATAATGTTCAATTATGAAAGAAGATACAACAGAAAAAACCTATAATGTACGATAAAAAAAATTAAAAATTGGTTGTAATAGTTTTTTTTCAATGATCTATATATATTGCGATAGAGTTCATGAAACTATGTAAGAAAATGTACTCTAATAAAATTGTATTCTTTTTATTTATATACAAAATACTAAGGTCATCCTTATCTATAGGAAAATCGCCTAATTTCTAGAAACAAAGTTGTTACTTAAAATTAGGCGACTTTCCTATAGATAAGGATGACCTCAGTATTTTTTATTTATATAAAAAAATACACGTTTTTTAAAGTATATTTTCTTACATAGTTTCATGAGTTCTATCTAAACGTATATGAATCATTGAAAAAAGGTTTCCTCGCATTTTTCATTTCCAATACCTTAAACAATCTTACGATTTTAAATGTTTTTTTTATTATGCCTTAATTTCGATGTGTTCTTGTCCGTACCTTATTTATTTAACTACACTCCATTCTAATTATTTACTTATTTTTCAGGCATTACTACTCTATTCAGGAAGGTCAAAAATAACTAAATAGATATACAAAACTGAAGTTCAATCAATGTACGCATCATCAATAGTATACAAAACTTCCTTGTTTGAATGAATTCAGTAATTATACGTATTAATCGATATTCTTATATTTATATGTTGAGCGCGAATGCATGTTTGACACAATATATCTTTCGTTTAATGAACAATAGTGATCTTTGAAATGTGAGCATCTGTAACTAGCATTTAAAGGTTGAAAGTTTTTCTTATTCTGTTAAATGATAATCATCTTAAAAGTATTTTGCAAAGGTATGTATGTAACGCTCCCTGTCAGTGTCATAAGGTGCAATTTTATTTAAACGTCAGATTCTTTTGATGTTCAAATAGTCAGTCATCTAACAGATGTGATAGAGAATATTTTGCTGCGAGAAACTCGCTATACATTTTCTCTTCTAACATCTAATTGTAATTTGAGTATTCAC